CGGATGGGGGTTGGAGAATTGAAAGACTTAGCACATGTAAAGGGCATAGAATATTCCTGGCACACAGTAAGCACTGTATGAGTATGACACAGGAATTTATCTGTAGCACTACATGACCTCTGTGGCATTTGCCATGTCTTAAACCCAGTGAATCTTGGAATTCAATTCTATGGTTATAAAATCCTATAGTTTGGCTCAGCTTCAACTGTGCCACCATCCTGGATGTTAAGAAGCAAATGGATTTATTATGCTGCTGGGGAGTCCACCAAGGCCTCGGGGCCCCTTCCTGGCTTGAAAACCCCACGGGCTGTTGCCTAAAGGTTGGCTAGAGGAGGGCATGAGATGCTGTCATCTCTCGTGATCTCTGTTTCCTTGCTTCCTTTTCAACCACAGAATTTTTGCTTCAGAGAAAGTGGAATTCTTAAGAAAATCCTGTTGTGTTCACATCTGTGGTCGCTCTGGACATAACTGTACCCCACCCACCCCACTTCTTTTGGTCTTAGCAGCAAATGGAAAAAGTGCCCAGTCCAGACTCACTACTTCCCTCCTACTTCCTGGAAACCTCCCAGGGCACTATCCTTGCTCAGCACATTTATGACTCCACTTTGTCATTCATTGAGAATGATGCTGCCCTGGGCCAAACTTTCTTTTAGCTCCGCCCTCTTTACTTTCCATAAAAAGCAGGCAGAGTAGCCAGAAGAACCAGAGGAGCAGAGAAGCTGAGACCAGCTTGGAAACCTCCAGCTCTCACACCCAAGCTCCTCGCTCCCCGCAGACATGAAGGTCTCCGCAGCGCTTCTGTGCTTGCTGCTCACAGCTGCTGCCTTCAGCATCCAGGTGCTCGCCCAGCCAGGTAAGCCCCTCTCTCCTTCCCTCTGAAGCCCACCACCCCATCTCTGGGTTCTCATAATCAGGAAAGTCAGAGAAGGACACAGAGGGAGCCAGATCACACAGCTGCTCCAGGGCAGAGCCTGGATGAGAATTCCAGCCGTGGACCCTAAATCCAGTCCTCCCAGGACTCCAGCTCTGTAATCACACCCTCCGTGTAGTTACTGCCCCGGCTCCTTGCAACAGGGGTTGGGGACTTGGATCATCAAAAAGGAGGGGACTCTGGTGGAGAGTGTGCAGGGTATCTCCAGATATGGTGGAGGGGAAAGGAGGAGACCCAGAATCTGGTCTATGCTTCGTTCGGTCCAGCATCCCGAGGCAGCAAGTATCAGAGAAACTCACAACTTGGAGCCTAGAGGGGGACCCATAGCTGGGTTCCCTGAGCTGATCTCTGAACCTGATAATTTGGATTATTCACTACTCCCAGGATCAGTGATTAATGATACTCCCAGGAATTATCTAGTTTTAACAGCTCCCTCTTCCCACCACTCATTATCAATGCTATATACCCATTATAAAGCAGAGGAAGCTGAGTCAGCATGCCATTCTAGCTCTGAAGCATAGGCAGAAATATTGGGATTTATGAGTTCTACCTCTACTCCTGACTTCCCTTCTCCTGCTCCTTCCTACTCTTTCTTGCTATGATTAAGATCAGAAGAATCTAACCCATCCTAACATGCTTTTTCTTTGTGGTTCTATTTCCAGATGCAATTAATTCTCCAGTCACCTGCTGCTATACACTCACCAATAAGAAGATCTCGATGCAGAGGCTGGTGAGCTATAAAAGAGTCACCAGCAGCAAGTGTCCCAAAGAAGCTGTGATGTAAGTGGAACACACCAGCCCTCCCTGGGCCAGTTCTTCCTTGGGTAGCAAGGGACAAGCCTTACAAACTTAGAGAGTTAGGCCATCTAATCTCATCCTCAAAGGTGCCCAGTGGGAAAACTGAGGCCACAAGGGACAAGGTGACTCCCAACATCACTCTCCATCTGAGTGCTTACACAGACCCTCCCAATTTCTTCAGCGGGAAGTCAGGACGCCCTGATGTCCTCTCTCCACCTGCCTTCCTCTTCTTGTTCCCATGGCAGCTTCCTGGGGCAGAATGGGCTGTTGTCATAGGCTGAGATCTCGGTGGAACTCTATCTGACTGTGTTCTCTCTCCCTACAGCTTCAAGACCATCCTAAACAAGGAGATCTGCGCTGACCCAAACCAGAAGTGGGTCAAGGATTCCATGGCACACCTGGACAAGAAGACCCAAACTGCAAAGCCTTGACTACTCACTCTGAAACCGAAGAATCTAAAATTAATTTATTTTCTTCTAGTTGTCCCTAAATGCCCTCCTGATGTTATTTTATTATAATTTCAAAGACTACAAACTTTGTTTATCGATACTCACACCATGCCTGAAGTACTGTTAATCTTATTTAAGTTATTGATGTTTTAAATTTATCTTCCCTGGATACTAGGTTTTTTTTGTTTGTTTGTTTGTTTGTTTGTTTGTTTTTTACATATGGAGACCAGACAAATTGCTTTTCTCTGGGAGGGGGGGAAGTTCTACCCCTGGGATGGTGTGAGTGTCCTTGCAAGGACCATTAATACAAAGACTATGTTTTAATTTCTAAAGAATTGCTAGAAATGCTATTGTGGAGATGTATATTATATAACTATTGATCAATATATAAATATATATTTTTGTACAAAACTGCCTTTGGTGTTTTCTTGAAAGAAATTAAAAAGCTGAGTGTAATCTTGGTGATTAGGAGGGAACATGTTTGCAGAGGGTGGGCTTGTGTTGGGAGGAGTGACAATGTGGATTGGCCCTGGTCTTTTTCACTGGGTAGGCAAATCTGAGTGCCTATAGAAGAATCTTTAAGTCAGGACCCAGTCAAGCATTCCAGCCCTACCACTCTAGTCCCCAAGACCATCTGTCCAGATCCCAATTACCCTTGTCACCCTATCTCTTTAGCAACGCCCCATGTCCTTTCTCACAGCCCTTGACCCCTGCCCTCAATCTCTCTCATCATCTACTACTACTGCCCCCTACCTGGGATACTTGCCCCCAACCTCTCCCCCTCCAAGTAATCTTCCAACTTGGAGTAATACAGACACTGCCGACTTTGGGAAATCAAGGAGAAACTGAATGACCACTGATAAGAGAGTCAGATTCAGATTTCATAAAGAAGATATGACTTGAACTTCTCCTTGATGAATACATGAGATTTTTCTAGAAAAATTACAGTATCATTTAGAAGAGGAGAAAGAAGAATGGAGCCAAATACCTGGAGGTAGAAATGATGATGGTGTGTACATCAAAGAGGGTGAAAACCAATCAGGTGGGAGTTGGGGTCCATGTCGGTGTCAAGTGTTGGGGAAGTTTAGAAAGAAAAGTTGGAAAAGGGTTTTGAATGTCAGGATGGTAAGTCAGTACTCAACTTCATAGATTAAAAGGAGATGTTGACAATGTTTGAGCCAATGAGGAAGGACATGCCATGTTCAAAGATTCAGAGGTGAGTGTCAGTAAATGTAACTTATTGGCTTCATACACGTTTGGAGAAGTATGGACAAGGGAGAGGCTACTGTCATGATCCAAGAAAGAGATGATGAGTGCTTGAATATGGAGCCCAAGAAGCAGCTTTGGAGGACAATGAGCTAGGTAGAGTGAAATGCTGTGTGTTGTAGATGGAAGAGAAGGACCTGTGACCTAAGACTCAGAAGCCTTTTCTACAATCCACATTCTAAGAGACAGTTTACCTGAAATCAGAACGTGCTTCTCTTCACCACTATCCCCCATTTCAATCCAAGGAGCACAGGATCATCCATTTATATGGATGGATCTCTTTTCCCTGAATGTCCACCTAAGGTCTGTACTTCCTTGCATGGCATTTGACCTACCTGTGAGGCATTTGACCCATCTAAGCACAGGCAGCCCTTCCACTTAAAGAAAGCAGATCTCTTGCCCTATTGAATAAATTCTGCGTGGTGGTTTTGCAGATTCACCAGTCTAGTCTGGTGGTGAGATGGCTACTGTACCAAGCTAGACCAGGCAATGCCTTCAGCAGCTGGGGAAAACCCTGGCTGGCAGGGACACTCGAGTTCTAATCCCAGTCCTGGCATTGACTCACTCTGTCATTCAGAGCAGATTGGGTATTCTGAGTTTCCACCAGTAAAATGGGGGTGATAATGTGCTACAAATAGGAATTTGGCAGAACCTAGGTTCTAGGATCTGGGAGTGTGTGTGTTGGAAAACCTCCATCTCCAACAGTTGGAGCTGGAGATGAATAAAGGGGATTCTCCTTCCATATTCCCAAGATAGTCCAGGGTCCCTGGTTCAGGCTGAGGGATTCTATCAAACTCCAAGCTCCTCAAAGTGCCTTGATACATCTGTCAGAAGACAACTTATTGGCTGCTTTTTATGGAACTCTCTGACCCATCTGCCAGGTCCAGTAGCCCTCCCTGCTTCTCCTCCACTCCTCCAGTCTACATCCTTGACTGCCAAGCAGGACTAAATCCTCAGTGGCAGTGGATGCCAGGGGGGCAAAAGGGAATGGAGTGCGAGCAAATGGGACATCCACATACAGTTTAGGGAGCGTCAGACCCTCTAAAACCAGGCAGATTTGTGATGGAGGGTCTGGAGGGAGGGGAGGCTGAGGGAGAGGCAATCCATGTGCTCAAGCCCAAAAGCAATCCACTCACATTCCCTTTCCAAGCCACATCTATTCATTTTCAGGAAATCTTGAATCTATTTTTTTTTTCTCCAGCTAAGCAAGGGAGTCCTTGCTCCTTGCATGATAAAACTGTGAACATGAGGCACTGGCAATAGGCCCTGGTTCAGGAGGCAATGCCAAGTGTGGTGTATTCATTTCCTGTTGCTGCCAACAGTCTGTTCCAGGAAATCTAGGCCTTTTCTATCACGCTCGAAATTCTTCCAGCCTGTGCTCATTGCCCAATTCCAAAGTCGCTTCTACATTTTTTAAAATATTTATTATGGCAGCACCCCATTTATAGATATTCCAGATATCAAAATCTCTTTTAGTTTCTTATTGCTACTGTAACAATTTATCATTAACATAATGGCTTAAAACAACACAAATATATTACCTTATAGTTCTGGAGACCAGAAGTTTAAAATGGGTCAGTAGGGCTGCATGCCTTTTGGAGGCTCTGGGGAAGAATCTGTTTTCTTGCCTTTTCTAATTTTTAGAGGCCACCTGCATTCCTCATGGCCCCTTTCTCCATTCAACATAGCTTTAAGGTGGAGGAGGAGTGAAGCTACAAGGGATCAAAGTTTTGATACTGTTGAAATAAAGATGGCATTAACCTGAACCACGTTGTTATACGTGATAATTGTAGTCAGAGTGACTACTATGAAAATAACTAAAATATACATAGTAAAAGAAAAAAGGGAATAAAATGGTATACAATAAAATAGTATTATTTATGTATCACAAAAGAAAACAGTAATGGAAAGAGGACCGAAGTCAGTGAGATGGCCAAATAAGATGTACCTTGCTCATATCTCCCCCTTAACAGCAATAATTTTGCACCCATGCAGGGACAAAAGTGCCTTTTGGGAGCTGTGTGATCCAGCACCATATGCCAAGGAAGAAGTCACCCATTCATTCATCAAGTCAAAAGCATTCAGATATTGGTTCTGGCTGTGGAATCTGCAGGGACCTCTCTTGGCTGTATTCTGGGAGTTCCTGGGGAACACTGTCTTGGACAGTCACCTACAGATGGGAGAGCATCTATCAAAGTCCAGATTTTTAGTGGAGAAGTTCCAGCACGCTGTTGGAAAAAAATAAATCAAGTTTGGATGCATTGGAGAGGGCAAAAGGAACAGTCTGACATTACCTGCATCACTCCTTCTCCAAAGTGGCACAGACCAGTGCCAAGAGAGACCCTCTCAGCCCTTGATTTCTCCTGTGGGGAAAGTGAGGGCATTTGGGGTGTGCTTCCCCAGCTCCCCATCTAGGTGGAAGCTACCAAAGAGATCCATTTGTTTCCTGTCTCATCCAAAGTACTAACTCATTGAGCTACATGACTCAAGGAACAAAAAGAGGCTGACAGGGCAGGAGATAAGACTTTTTTAAGGCATTCAAAGGGCATGGATCCTACTAACTGCACCACAGACTTCATCAAGAAGCCTGCCCACAGGCCACTGGAGACATCTCACTGGCAGATCCCTTTAACTGGCTCCACGGGCACCCTCAGCACTCTATGAGCTTCACCAAAACACCCCTCCCCAACCTGCATCTGTTTCCCTGCATCTGTGACTGCTCCTGACAAGGGCAAGAGCAAGCTTTGACAGACAGCTAGTGGTCCAGCACAGAAAACCACCTGCAGCTGTGATCCAGGGAGAGACCATAAATGTGAGCTTTAGTTATGCCCTTGAGGAAGCAAGACAGACTGTCAGCATTCAGCCTGGTGTATTGCAGGATTGTGAGAAGGCATACACGCTTAAGAACTCTGTCACAAGAAGGAGAAAGAAGAATGGAAGAGACATATCTATAGAAGTTCTGAGAAAGCCTCAAAATCCCTAGCAGGGCTGACAGAAAGAAGTTGTCTCCCAAAGCCAGTCAGCAAAGACTAGAGGAGAGGGGCACCAGGGTGACTCAGTCAGTTAAGCTTGCTAACAAGTCAGTTAACTCTTGTTTTTGGCTGAGGTCATGATTTCATGGTTTTGTGAGTTCAAGCTCCATGCTGGACTCTGTGCTGACAGTGTGGAGCCTGCTTGGGATTCTCTCCTTCCCTTTATTTATTTATTTTTTTTAATTTTTTTTAACGTTTATTTATTTTTGAGACAGAGAGAGACAGAGCATGAACGGGGGAGGGTCAGAGAGAGGGAGACACAGAACCGGAAGCAGGCTCCAGGCTCTGAGCCATCAGCCCAGAGCCCGTCGCGGGGCTCGAACTCACGGACCGCGAAATCGTGACCTGAGCTGAAGTCGGAGGCTTAACCGACTGAGCCACCCAGACGCCCCTCTCCTTCCCTTTATCTCTGCATCTCCCTTACTTGTGCTGTCTCTGTCTCTGTCTCTCTCAAAAATAAATAAATAAACTAAAAAAAAAAAGACTAGAGGAGGTGACTGCTGCTTCTTCTTCAAATTCAAAGAAACAAAACAAGACTTTGAGGAATATGTAAAATCAAAGAAACATGACACCACCAAAGGATCACAATAACATTCCAGTAACTGACCCCAAAGGCATGAAGATCTATGACTTACCTGAAAAAGAATTTAAAATAGCCTTTTTAAGGAAGCTCAATGAACTACAAGAAAACAGAGAAAGTCCTTTCAACAAAATCAGGAAAACAAAACATCAACAGAATGAGAAGTTTAATAAAGAGATAAAAAGCATTAAAAAGAAGAAGTTGTGGAGCTGAAGATGCAATGAATGAAATAAAAAATACAATAAACATCATCAACAGCAGAATGGACCATGGGGAAGAAAGAATTTGTGGAGAAGACCTTAGAAATTATCTAGTCAGAGAATAACAACAACAAAGAACGAAGAAGACTGAAGAAAGCCTATGTGATCTCTGGGATATTATTAAAAGAAAAAAAAAATCTGTGAATTATTGGAGTCCCAGAAAGATAGGGAGAAGGGGCAAGAAAATTTCTTTAAAATTTTTTTAACGTTTACTCATCTTTGCAAGACAGAGAGAGACAGAACATGAGTGGGAACGGGGCAGAGAGAGGGAGACACAGAATCTGAAGCAGGCTCCAGGCTCCGAGCTGTCAGCACAGAGCCCAATGAGGGACTTGAACTCACGAACTACGAGATCACGACCTGAGCCAAAGTCAGACGCTCAACTGACTGAGCCACCCAGGCACCCCAAGAAAGCTTCTTTAAAGAAGTAATGTTTGAGAACTTCCCAAATCTGGGGAGAGATTTCAATATCCAAATTCATAAAGTTCATAGGTCACCAAACAAACTCAACTTTAAAAACTCTTCTCCGAAGACATATTGTAATAAAACTGTTAAAAAAAACAAACACAAAAAGAGAATCTTAAAAGCAGAAAGAGAAAAGAAACTTGTCACTTACAAAGGAACTCCCATAAGGTAATCAGAGGATTTCTCAGCAGAAACTTCACAGTCAGGAGAGAGTGGGATGGTGTCTTCATTACCATTAGACCTGCCTTATAAGAAATGCTGAAAAGGGTTTTTCGAGCTGAAATGAAAGGATACTAATTAGTAACATGAAAACATATACATCACACTAGTAAAGGTAATTATATAGTCAAGTTCAGAATAGTCTAATACTGTAATATTATACTGTATTAACCACTTTACTATAAAGGCTAAAGGACAACATTATTAAAAATAATAGCTGCAATAATCTGTTAAATGTTACACAATGTAAAGAGAGGTAATGTAGCATAACAAACATAAAAGGAAAGATATAAAGGTAAAGGTTTTGTATGCAGTCAAAGTCAAGCAACCAGGCATAAAATAGCTTATTGTATCTATTAGATGTATTATGTGAGCCTCATGATAGCCTTAAGGCAAAAATCTACAGTGAATACACAAAAAAGAAAGAGAAAGGAATCAAAGAATACCACTATGAAGAATCATCAATTCACAAATGAAGGGAGCAAGTGAGATAGGAGAAAGGAACAAGGGAACTACAAAATAGAAAAAAGTAAGATGGCATTATCAAGTCCTTACCTATCAATATTCACCAAATGTGAATGGACTAAATTCTCCAGAAAAGGCATACTGTGGCTAAATACATTAAAAAATTATAAATAAGACCCAACTATATGCTTCCTACAGGAGACTCACTTTGACTTTACAAACACACATGGGCTCAATGTGAAAAGATGGGAAAGATATTCCAAAAGAGAACAGGAATAACTATACATGTAGCAAAAAATAGACTTTAAGCCAAAACCTGGAAGCGACAAAGAAGATCATTATGTAATTATAAAGGGGTCAATTCATCAAGAAGATATAACAATCATAAATATAACTATACCCAACATTGGAGAAACTAAACATATTGAGCAAATACTAACGGATCAAAGGGGAAAAATAGATCACAGTAATAGTAAGGGACTTGTATACCCCCTTCAACAACGGATAGATCAACCAAACAAAAATCAGTAAGGAAATGTTGGACCTGAAGTACTTTGGATCAAATGTACCTTACAGACATATATAGAACATTCCATCCGATCAAATGGAATGTATACAGAATGTACATTCTCCTTAATCACACACAAAACATTCTCCAATGTTACGTGATAGATAACAAAGCAAGGCTTAGCAAACTTTAAAAAGATTGAATTCATGCCAAGTATCTTTTCCTAACACAATGGTATGAAACTATAAATCAATAACAAGAAGAAAACTGGAAAATATGCAAATATGTAAGGATTAAACAACACACCCCTAAACAATCAATGGGTCAAAGAAGAAATCCAAGGGAAATAAAAAATATCTTGAAAGTAACAAAAATGGAAACACAACCAACCGAAACTTATGCAACACATCAAAAGCAGTTCTAAGAGAGATGCTTGTAACAATGGATGCAAACATTAAGAAAAAAAGAAAGATCTCAAATAACAAACCTAACTTTATACCTCAAGAGACAACAAAAAGGGCACACTCAGCCCACAGTTAGTAGAAGGGAGGAAGTAATGAATATCAGAGCAGAAGTAAATTAAATAAAGACTGAACAACAATAGAAAAGATGGACAAAGCCAAGGGCCTCTCATCAAGCCCCCTTTTCATTAATATCATCAGCGATTTGTTGATGAGCTTGTAGTGTGTGCATATAAACAAGGGCAGGTTGAAACAGCAAACGGACAACTGGTTTTCAAAATCTAGTCGTTAGATCCTTGAGATATGTATGAGAAGAGAGGTTGTGAAGACTCCTGTCTTAGCCTCCAACTGAGCAAGTCCACTTTGATTTTATTCATAAGTTTGGCTTCCCCTCTATTCTTTTTATAAGAGAGAGAGAGAGAGAGTGAGAGTGTGAGTAGGGGAGAAAGGCAGAGTTAAAAAGAGGCAGAGAATCTTAAGCATGATCCATACTCAGCACGGAGCCTGACGTGGGGCTCAATTCCAGGACCCTGGGATCATGACCTGAGCCCAAACCAACAGTCAGACACTCAACTGACTGAGCTGCCCAGGCACCCCATCCCTTCTGTTATTTTACTTGTAATAATATTTTCATAGATAATCCGATATTTTAAAAACCACAGCATCCCATGATCTTATTAAGTGCTTTGTAGTTCAGATAGCCTATGGAACAGATAGTGGTTTAAAAACATGTCTGCAAATTCTTTTATGGTCCTCAAATTAAGAGATGTGGTCTATGTTCCCTAACTTTGTACCTGGGAGTCTTAAACCATCATGTAAAATATCCATATCCAGCTATGTGGAGGGACCACTGGAAAGATGGGGGTGGGGGCAAGAAGCTTCCATCTGATCCAATCCCAGCTGTTTAAGACCTCCCAGCTCAGACACCTGACACTGAGTGAAAGCCTTGAGATGACCCCAGTCTCAGCCACCATCCAACTACAATGATGTAAAAATCCCTGAGCAAGAACTACCTGGCTGAGCCCGCCAAGTCCCATATCCAAAAGCAAAATCAATTATTGTTCTTGCTTTAAATCACTGTTTTCAGATGGGTTGTTATAGCATTTAATTACTAGATATACAATTTTAGGTATTATTCTAAAAAAAGATAAGTCTACTTTTCTGCTAATGTCCTATTATCGCATTCTTCTTTGGGTTTAAGAAAAGCCACCAGGGGGGCGCCTGGGTGGCTCAGTCGGTTGAGCGGCCAACTTCAGCTCAGGTCATGATCTCGCAGTCTGTGAGGGCTGTGAGTTCGAGCCCCGCGTCGGGCTCTGTGCTGACAGCTCAGAGCCTGGAGCCTGTTTCGGATTCTGTGTCTCCCTCTCTCTGACCCTCCCCTGTTCCTGCTCTGTCTCTCTCTGTCTCAAAAATAAATAAACGTTAAAAAAAAAAATTAAAAAAAAAAAAAAAAAAGAAAAGCCACCAGGGTTTAAAGCAGTAAAGGATTTTTTTAGTCCATTTTAAAGCCCAGCCAAAGTTTTACTTTCTCTGGAAACTGGGGTCCTGGAGATGCTGTCTGAAAGGAAAATTGGGGAAATCCCTTACATTTCTTTGATTTGGTAACCCTACTTCCTTTCTTTTTCTACATAAAGCGTTTCATTTCAAAAAAAAAAAAAAAAGGAACCCTTGGTAACAGTAATAGATCACACACTGCTTGGGCATAGCCAGCACCTCACCAACACACCAGAGCTTGAATGGAAAGCAGGCCAGCATCAATCACATTTCTCTCTCATTTCCTAGTATGTTCCTCAGGGGAGGGCAATGGCTCAGCAGATTTACTATTCCATCCTATGATTCATTCAGAAGAGCAAAGCCCTATCATCCACTCACTTTCTTCTTATTCCTGTCTTTCCCTATAAAAAGCAGGCAGAACCCCCAGAGGAGCAGAGAAGCTGAGACCAGCTTGGAAACCTCCAGCTCTCACACCCAAGTTCCTCGCTCCCTGCAGACATGAAGGTCTCCACAGCGCTTCTGTGCCTGCTGCTCACAGCTGCTGCCTTCAGCCTCCAGGCACTTGCTCAGCCAGGTAAGCCCTTTTCTCCTTCCCTTTGAAGCCCATCACCCCATCTCTGGGTTCTCATAATCAGGAAAGTCAGAGAAGGACACGGAGTGAGGCGGATCACACAGCTGCTCCAGGGCAGAGCCTGGATGAGAATTCCAGCTGTGGACCCCAAATCCAGTCCTCCCAGGACTCCAGCTCTGTAATCACACCCTCCGTGTAGTTACTGCCCCGGCTTCTTGCAACAGGGGTTGGGGACTTGAATCATCAAAAACAAGGGGACTCTGGTGGAGAGTGTGCAGGGTATCTCCAGATATGGTGGAGGGGAAAGGAGGAGACCCAGAATCTGGTCTATGCTTTGTTCGGTCCAGGATCCAGAGACAGGGTTCTGCAGAGGCTGCAGGTATCGGAGAAACTGACAACTAGGAACAGATTGCTCAGAGCCTAGAGGGGGACCTATAGCTGGGGTCCCCTTGACCTGAGGAACTGGACTATTCTATGAGCCTCTCCTAGAAATACCCAGATTTGTCACCAGTTCCTCTTCTCTTCTTAATGAGCTGTGGTATCCTTCCACTTTACAGTCCATGCAAGTGAGAGAGTTTCAAGACAGATGTAGGTACTTCAAGACAGACCTAGTCCTTAGGGATTTAAGGTGGGTGGCTTCCCTTTCCTTTGACTCCTCCTCCTTACTGTTCCCTACTTTTCAAATGAAAGTCCCAACACACACCCTCAATAGCCTTTGTTGTTGTTGTTTCAACAGAGGGGATTAATAGCCCAACAACCTGCTGCTATAGATTTACTGTTAGAAAGATCCCCATCCAGAAGCTGAAGAGCTACAGAAGAATCACCAGCAGCTATTGTCCCAGGGAAGCCGTGATGTGAGTGAAGCCATGACCACCCGCACTCATCCCTTGATCTTGAGCTCGCTCCCAGACAGTGGATTGGGTTCTATGATAAGACTGAGTTGGAATTTAACCCTCAGATGCTTAGACTAATCCAACCCCAAGAATTTTTTTTATGGGAAAAGTGAATTCAAGAAAGTAAAGAGACTTCCCATTTTCAGCTCCCTGTCCAGACATTGGTTCAGATGTCAGTTCTTTCATCTAGGAGCCAAGATGGCTTCACCTAGGTCAGCAAAAACAGCTCCATCCCCAGAGGCCCCTTCCTAACCTCAGGCTAATGGGCCAGGCAAGTTTTCCATAGAGTAGGTTACACTCCCAAGCTGAATCTTCAAGGTGCTCTATCTAACTGCCCTCTTTACCCACAGCTTCAAGACCAAACAGGCCAAGGAGCTCTGTGCTGACCCCAAGCAGAAGTGGGTCCAGG